TTCACCAGAGACAGAATGGGGAGCAGAACAGGCAGATCGACGAAGTACACTGCTGAGGGGAGCAGCAGGCGGGTCAGGAGAGGTCTGGCGCCATTTCGGTCACCTCCAGGGCAGGTGGGGATTGAACTCATGCGGAAGTGGTGACTTTAGCTTCTTAGTGCTGTGCTTTAACCCGCTGCACCACCAGGGAGGGCCAATAAATAAATCTTGTTAAAAAATTAAAAAAGGCAATTTTGACCATAGTTAGACATTGTTGCTTTATCTTTTTCTTTCCATTGTTTGTGAATTATTGAAATACTATTTCAATAAAAATGGTTTAATGAGTGACCAAGGAGAGATAGCATATTCATTTACACTACTGGTATTTACTGAAAGAGCAAATGACTATTAATGGGAGTGGTTCTCTCTCAGAATGAAGATTTTTTTTTTGGCTAATGGCAAGTAAAAGTTGTACTTAAGTTTCTAAGGGATTGACACTATTAGAGTAAATAGCTACCAGCCACTGCAACATGCTTTTAATCCCCAGCTAGGAAGGTAACTCATATGGCATAGCAGACCTCTCCTGTCTCACCCTTTGCTCCCCACTCTGTCTCTGGTGAATCCTCTCACCCTCCACACCTCTGGCCTACACCCTAGTTCTTATATGCATAAATAAGTAAAAATAAATCTTTTGAAAAAAAATATATAGCTATTAATGTCAGATTCTATTTCTTTCCCTTTTTGTATTCAGAATTTCCCCAACTTGGTATGTCATATTCTGTAGAACTTTCAAACTTGACTTTGATAATATTTAGCCATCTAGTTCTTTTGTGAACTTAAAAAAATATTTGTAGTTTTTTTCTACCAATGAATCATCTGATTTTGACATAAATACCTTATCTCTATGTATGGAATTTCAGCAATAAAAAAGGAGTAAATGTTAATACACAGGACAGCATGGATATATCTCAAAGCATCATACTAAGCAAAAGAAGTCAAACAAAAAACACTGTTTGCAGTGTGGTTCTACATCATTAAAATCATAGGAAAGGCTAAACTGTAGTAATGGACCAGTTATTGCCTAGGTTGGGAGTTAGGTGAGGGATGGGAACTTACTGCACAGGGGGACACAGAAACATTTTAGGATGAGGGCACTGTACTATCTCTTCATTTTGATGTGATTATCAACACATGAGTATATGAAATTAGCCTGTTCATCAAAATGTATACTTAAAGCTTCATTTTATCTAAATACTAGTTCAATGAAATTAACACTTAAAAAAAAACTAAATGCCTTATTTTCTTAATAATTTTTTCATGACAATTATTGTGAAAGAGAAAATTATCCTTAGGTTTACTTTTTCAAAGTAATCATTTGTATACATATATAAATTCAGGTCCACAGAACACACTTTCACTATGTATTAATTATTTATAGTTCTATTCCTTGTATTCATCATTTAACTAATGTTGATTGAATATCCCTCTATGGGGGTTACTCCATATTGTAAAACTCAGATAAATATTACATTATCGCACAAGTAATTATATAATTATAATATGGCAGTTAATTTGAAGAAAAAATAACATGACAAGATCAGAGAAGGAACTTTCAGATTTACCTATAAAAGCATCCTTGGTGTTTTTGTTAAACACCATTGTGGCAGAGAGGTTATGTCTCAGTAGTTTAACTGCAACAGCCTCAGTACCATTCCCCAGCCAGGGAACTAACCTACATGTCTGCTGTGCTCTTTACTAGTGTATTCCAGGAGATGTGTCTGTTCTGCTCCCATCTCTTTTTCTGGTGAATTCTCTCACCACTTCCCATACCTCTAGCCTACAACCTAGTTCTATGCAGAAATAAGAATAAATTAAAAATACAAAGCTTGGAATTGACCTTTAGTAAGACTTCACAGCTTTTTTTTCTATATCTTAAAATTCTTTATCCTTTTTCACCTTAACTTTTCTCCTAAATGTTTGTGAAAATTAAGAACTTAGAATTTTTGCAAGTTCATATTTATGAAGTACTTCTCATATGCTGGAAATAAATAGAAATCCAGTTAAGATATTGTACCTATTGTGAGAGACTTTGAAAAGACTTCATGGAAATATAAATTAGGCATTAAATAGATTACATTTATGTGGAAGGAGAAAAAAATGGTCATTTCATGTTCTGGATACCGCGTTTTCGTGATTCTGTATTTTTCTCTGTAACCATTTCTATGCAAGCTTTCTTATCACAGTCTCCTTTATATTCTACCTTTTCACACATTTGTTTTGGAACTTGGTCCCCTTACCCCCCTTCATTTGGTATAAAAAATCGTGTGTGTGTGTGTGTGTGTGTAAAATGATTCCATAATTTACATCTCTGTTTCTCTGACTCTTGAGCTCCAAAGCTATTTTTCCCTATCACCTCTGCCTCCCTCAGAGCACCAGAAAATGAGGATAACTAAAATAGAAGAAGAAATTCATTTTTCTGTTCAGATCTTCTTTGTTGAAAGTATTTTTTAAGTATAATGTGATGTCTTTTCAGTCACTTAGACTGGAAACTTTCAAATCATCTAAGTGTCTTAATCTCTCTATTGCGCACATTTAGGCAGTTATAAGTCCTTATATATTCTGCCTGAGAAACTTTTATTGCAGTGGAGTACTAGCAAAGAACAATCTGATTAACATGGTTTCTTACTTTCTGAAAGAATATAGAAAGATACTTCCCAGTGTTAAAAAGGAAGGCAAACCTTCTGAGGCAAAATGAAATGCAGAGGAAACCAGTTGCAGTTCTCAAGAGACCTAACCAGTTAAATAGAAAGTAAGTACTTAAATGTAAGAAATAATGTTATTGTATATAAAAAACACTCTTGCAGTAAATGTTTAAAGGAATGGATTTGCATGATACTCATAGTTACAGGATCACTTTCAGGAAAGATACTTGGATTATTTACTTGAACATTTAACATGAGCATGCAATAAAAGCTTTCTAATTTATTAGACCCAGTGTTATTGATGTATTTAAATAATTGATTTAAAAAAATCACTCTGCTTCTTTACCTCTCTTGACATAGAGAATAAAATTGCAAAAGTGAATGTTTGTTAAAAACACCACCAAAATTATTCAGAATTGAATTCTGAAGCAGAATTTGTTACTCGTTTTCAATACTTCTTTAATGGAACAATGTCTTTTTTTTGTGCAAAAAAAGCAAACTAGAAAGAATTCTTCAGAATCCTTAAGCTGAAATTATTATTTTTTTTTTAAGATTTATTTATTTATTCATACAGAACTGGGGTACAGGCCAGAGATGCGGAGGGTGAGAGGATTCACCAGAGACAGAGTGGGGAGCAGAACAGGCAGATCGACGAAGTACACTGCTGAGGGGAGCAGCGAGCAGCGGGCGGGTCAGGAGAGGTCTGCCACGCCATGTGGTCACCTCCGGGGCAAGCGGGAATCGAACTCATGCGGAAGCGGCTTTAGATTCTCAGTGCTGTGCTTTAACCCACTGCGCCACCAGGGAGGGCCAAGCTGAAATTATTTTTATAGTCAATTGAAAGGCATAACAACAACTTAAATTTTGAACTACTTTTTTGGCATTCTGTTCTCTAATAAGAGGAGGACAGCTGTGAAGTTTACCTTACTCAGTTTCAAATATGTTTATTTACCTCTTGTATACAATACACAAAATAAAATAAATGTGGATTTAAGTTTTTGTATAAATGGAATGACTAGAATTACAGTTTTACTTAGCTATTGTCTCTTTTTTATTTGGAATCATTTGGAAAGAGGGACTTCTTACTTCCATGAGGCATGTTAATGAGTACATGTTAATTGAGCTACCTGGGGAAATTTTAATTTTGTTTTTGAGCTTAAATAGGTTGGAAATAAGTTTAGCATAAAAACTTGTTAAACATTTATGTAATTATTGTACATATATAGGTACATAAATGTATGTATACTTAAATAGGTACCGAAGTAGGAAATGAATAGAAAATACAAAAATGTTTTTTCATATTTCCTCTAGAAACTAGAAAAAAATTGGTGATAATCAAGTCAAACATAGTTAATAGTATATTCTGTATATGAAAGAACAAGAGTGAAAGAGTTTTCATAACTTATAATTAATGTATAAAAGTTTTTAAGTGAAGAAGAAAAGTGGAAAAGATAAGACTTTCAAGACTTTTTCTTTCTTTTTGGTTTTCAGCAGTTTTGGCTGTCATGTGATTTTCTTTAATCCCATAAGTAAATTTGTACATTTATGTCTTTCACAAAATTTTAAAATAAGGCTTTAAAATGTTTTTTCTAATGTCATCAGAAGATACACTGCATGTTTGAAAATTAGAGAGTTGAATACTTGGAAGATACTAAAAAATAACCAGGTTATTATATAATATGCTGCAGAGGGAGGTGTTTAAATCAAATGTCTGTAACTTCATATAAGGAAGTAGTTCAATCTTCATATTTAGTGTACCTCAGATTTTCAGCTTATGAGTTTAACTCTTTTTGCTTCTTTTTTTTCAAGATAGTTAAGTCATTAAGTTTGAAAGTTGTTAAAGAGCACAGATGACTTATTGTATATGTGCTTTTGTTGCAGAAATAACGTTCCAGCCAATTTTACTAGGAATGGAAATAAATTGAGTCATCAGAAGGACACTCGTCAAGCAACTTTTCTTTTCAGAAGAGGCCTTAAGGTATTAAAAACAAACAAAAACACCTTGATTGTAGTTTCTTTTTATCCCAAAGAAAGAATACTGCATATTATTCACCTTTAATAATTCTATATCATAGGCTTGGTCCAGGTTGAGGGTAAAGGTTGGGTAATTTTCTTTTTATTACTGGCAACAATAACAACAAGTTATTTAGAAATAAACTTGTATTTAACCACTGTTTCAATATAGGAGGTGTTAACAAAATACACATACACCCCTTTTAATACAACCACTACATTGGGTTAACAAGTTACAGAACAGAGTATGTCTTGGATTTAAATCCTCTGCTTTTTCTGGAATCTACTACTTTTTTTTTTTCCCTTCAGGTTCAGGCCCAGTTGAACACTGAACAACTACTCGATGACGTAGTAGCAAAGAGAACCCGTCAGTAAGTCATATCCAGTTTGTTTTTCAAGATGTAATTTCAAAACATCCAGAATACGAAGGACCCAAATTACTGTGTGCCCCAGACCAAAAGAAATTAACTGAAAACCAGAGTAAAGTAACAATTGAGCCTGAATTGAACCAAGTCTTCTTTAGTTTTCAAAAAAAAAGCCCATTTACATTTTCAAATCAGTGTCAAAAATAATTTTTGCTCTAAAGAATCATTTTAAATTTTTTTATATATTTGCCTACTTATTCTATTGTAATAAACTGTTCCTTTTCTTTCAAAACTGCTTTTATGCAAATGAACCTCTTTAAGGGATAAATAGCTTTTAGAAAATTTATAAACCTTCAGAACAATAGGCATTTACTTTTTATGTATTTTCCCTTCTCCCATAAGTTTTTTTTAAATCTGTTGTCTGTCAGAATTGCTTCCAAGATGTGAATTACAACATTTTACTTTTATCTATATGATCAGGTTTTGTGATTAAAGTTTTTAAATTATGGATGCTTTTTGAAAGACATCATCTAACATGGTCATGGTCCAGATATGATGGCAACTAAAATGGGATGTTATTTTGAGTAATAAGGAGTATAAGAAAGGAAACTATTTTGACACTGTAGTATTATTTGGCACATGGGTCATGACATTGAAAACCATAAGGAAGGAAATTATAGCCTGTTTGCTTCTGTGATGAATAATATTTGCATAATTATATTGATAGAAATACTGTTTGTTTTGGACTTTGAGGACCATTCTACCATACAAAATATTTAATTTGGTAATGATAAAATGCAAAAGTCAGATTTTAGCTAATATGAATGTGGAGGTCATAAAATGTGGGAAATATAAAGTGGGAGAAAAAAGGAAAGAACAAAAGTTTCTCATATCCTTTAATATGAAGTAGAGAGAGAAAAAGTAAAAGATGTAAATATATTTAAAATTATAATGGAAATAAACTAGTGATATCACCCTCAAAATGTTTAGGGATATGAAGGGAAACCAAAGGATAATGTGATGAGCTTAAATCCTTATTACTGTAAGGTACTATTACCAAAAAAAAAAAAAAGATATTATAATGCATCTTGTTTAGTGACAGAGGTAATGTGCTATAGTAGTAACAGGAAAGAATAAAAGTGCTATCTCTGTAGCATAGCAAAGTGGAGCAGGAAGGGAGAGAAGAGTGGGCTAAAGAGCTCTTTTCGTTAGAAGCTCTTCTATACTATTTTACTTTCCTCAACATGCATTTATTTGTTACACTGAAAAATATCTAATAGATTTATCTGTTCAGTTCCACACCTAAGGTGCTGGTTAATTATATAATGGTGTGACTAAGTATCTGTCTGTTTTAAAGTCAAGGAAAAGTCTGTTTTAAAATGAGAGCTTTCTTATGGAATATACTACAGGATTTATAAACTTACATTTTAATAAAGTATTGGTTTCTTGAAACTAGATGGAGGACATCTACCACAAATGGAGGAATTTTGACTGTATCCATTGATAATCCTGGAGCAGTGCAGTGCCCAATGTAAGTCCTTTTTATTTTATAAAAATTATAATCTCGGGCCCTCCCTGGTGGCGCAGCGGGTTAAAGCACAGCACTGAGAAGCTAAAGCCACTTCCGCATGAGTTCGATTCCAGCCCGCCCC